AAGTTTCTCCCCGGGGTTAGGGAAATGATACCATATAGAATTCTCTCAAATGAACGTCAATATAAAGTGCGGTTTCAAAAAAATTTAATATTCAAAATACAGGATATCCCCCCCCCCCTCAATGCTCTTGATTCACTCTTCTAGAAGAACTGTTTCATCTGTCAGGATGCCGAATCAAAAAAATTGAAAATTCTGAGAGCATTTTTTAATATATAAACTTCGAAGGGTTTCACCTTTTCACTTTCCACCTTTTATTCCAGTCCGGCGCTGCCAGATAGTGCGATAATTGCAGGACCGCGATTTTTGCGAGTTCCGACTCGTGTATCCGTTGCCAGGCGATCTTCTTATGCACGTGAAAATCTGGAGCGTCCCTGTTTCGGATGAAATATTTCATTTTTGGGTATTGGTTTTGCTTTGTCAGTCCTCGTTTCTTCTCTGCGGAACCTTCTTTTTTATTTATTTATTTATTTTTTTATGAAAATATATTGTTACCATAACGCAGCTGCCAGCTAAGTAATATAAAGTTCAACATGTGAATAATCTTCTTATATCATAAGAGGAAAATTCCATCCCCTTACAGCCAGTTTTAAATAACTTGTCATATTTTGTTGTACAAGCAGTACCTATATGGAATTAGAAAAAAATCTTCAGTTGAATTCCAGGCCTGCTCCCTTCCCTATCCCTTGAATACCCTGCACCTAAACCATTTAATAAAAATACAGGTATAGAGATATTGAGTATTATTTGTAGCATTTCACTGCCTAAACTAGAAAAATGGACACAGAAGGATTCAAAAATGTTAATTGCCTGAACCATTTCCTCTTTCAAAACACTATGGATTGTAATTCCTTAAAAATGTTAAAGTAAAAATTTTAAAATAAATTTGAATAATTGCGCCGAACACAGTGCAGTCAGAAACTCATATTAGCGTCTACGAGACCGCAAGAATACTTCACGCATTGCGTCAAATAGTGCGGTTGGCGAGCGGTGCATATTAGCGCCTACAAGGCCAGAGGAATACTTCACGCATTGCGCGTATCGTTGAAAATTCGTAATTTCTGTGGCTGGATTCACTACGGTTCACGTCATTTCTGTCTATGAATCTGCAATCCACAGATGGAAGGATCACGGAGGTTTTGCCCCTCTGAAAGGTACCTGTTCCAAAAGTAGGTTTAATATACGAGACTTGCAGTGCGGGTCGTATTAGATATCTAAATTTTACTGAATTTTATTTAGGAATGAAGAAAATCTGCAAAATTTGTATTCATAACCCTTCAATGTTCTTGGTGTAAAATAATTGAATGCCAATTTTTCATATTCAGCCATTCATTAATTAACTATTTTGGTGATTATAATTTTAGAATGAATAACATGGACCTCATGGAAGAAAGAATATTTTTTTTGGATTAAATTGCCCCTCAAACGTCACAGTGACAATCTCAGTAATATGAAAATATGTCAACCTCAATCTTGACGCTAAGTTCAAGCTGTACACACTTTGAACAACACAGTGTGGGGAAGAAACAAGGCTCGATTGAGCATAGTCTGCTAAAGCCGTTGTTGTGCGCAATTTGACTCGCGTAGGGTTTTGTTTTTCTTGTGACCGGGCAATTCAAAGTTTCCGTGACCAATGTGCGATAAAAACGTAAATATCTTAGCTAGAAGTTGATTTCAGTAGTTTTCGTTGCGCGAATCATGTTCTGCGTGAAATTCTGTCGAAGAATCATACATTAGAGTGCTTAAATTCGTAACTTGTTTTTTCCATTTAAGCCAAAAAAGCGGACTTAGAAAACTTTCCTCGCTTTTCTCAGAAAAAAAAAAATTGTATCGGGAGAAACGAGGCAACGTTGGCTTGCGCATGCGGCGTCGAAACACAACATGGGCCTTTTAAGCCCCATTGTTCGATGCCGTGATTATCCCAACGCGAGTTCGAATAATGGCGCCGAGCACGATGCGGTCGGTGTCAAACTTACATTGGCGCCTGCAAGACTGTAAGGATACTTCACGCATTGCGCTAAATGCAATTTGAGCGTTCTTTGCTATAACTATTTGGCTATCGGTATAGGCACATTGCCGCTAACTGGATTGAAGGCGGATCACACCGTGAAGACGACTCTACAGCTACACACACCGCGCTCCCTTCCCTGGCTTGCGCGACGCTAAAATCGACGCTGATGTAGGACCATTGCTTAGGACCATTCCAATTTTCATGAAGAAGTCGATAGTGCCAAGCTTTTTAGTTATATCGGCGGGTTTCCCTGGCGAGATAAAATCGCCACCGAACTGACATCTGAAGATCCTCCCATACCAAATTATCTCTAAAATTGGACCTATTTCAAAGATAATATTTTGACTCTTTTCAAACTTAAATAAATTCGTAATTTATTCTGGACGCTTTATTTATTTTATTATTTCTTACTGTAATGTTTTTTTTTAATTGTTTTGTTTCAAATGAAAATTTGGAAAAACTATAATTTTACGACCGAATCTGCATCAGGTGAGAAATAGAAAGGAATAAGTCAATATTGATTTTATATCGCCTTTTATTTTTCCTTTTTTTCTTCTGAGTAGAAAAACAACATTTAAAATGACGCACGCAAACAGGAAATAAAAACAAAAAGAACAAAACTTATCTAGAAAAATATCTCGTTTGACTAAAATGGCAAAATCAAACTATGTACAATTAGGGTCCGCATTAAGGGTAACTCGAGTTTCTGGGTTTGTGACTCTTTTTTTTTGTTGGTAACTAAACTTTTTTGCGTTTTACCGGTAACTTATTTATCTCAAAATTTACTGAGAAGTATTTTTTTAAGGCTCAGTAGCACATTTTAATTCGAAGTTTAGAAAATCGCATGTATTCGTTATACATAATACCTCGAGCAGATCTAAACAGTGCACTCTGGTAAACATTACCTGCTAAGTACCACCATTTTTATAAAACAAAATTTGAGCAAGTAGGAGGCGCTGCTCTAAGGAATTCAAATTAGATCTTTAAAGATTTACTGACATAATTGCATGTACTCGTTTATTGGACGGATTTATACTCAACAGAACTATGTGCGAAGGAATTCAATAAAATCGAGCTGTATGAATAGACTTTGCGTGATACATACTTCCTCTTGATTTAATTCATTTACGGACAGATCATTTCATCATTGCTACGTCCATTTGATCGATTTCTTTGGATTTTCAGTCGGCTTATAAAACTAAATTGTATATACACTGTACAAATTTGAAGTATCTCTTTCAATTTTGATTCATCGAAGCGATGCCAGTCTTTTAAGTAGGAGCAGGTTTCTTTCTTCCTCTTAGAAAATGAGTCGAAAGATATCTTTGGTCGATTGCAACTTCATGAAGCACATGAAATCCCGCTGCAAGTGAATCAACTCTTCATTGATTGAAGGTGCCCCTATCATATTCAGGTACATAATTTCTTCAAGCGCTGCTTGAACCTAGAACCTGTGAAAAAATTGCATAAAATTAGTGTATCTATTTTTTCAACTTCGCAAATTATAAAATCGGTGTTACTGAAAACTACGGAAACATGAAGATAATTAATTGTCAAAGTGTCAGTAGGATGGTTAGGTGGTTGGTTAGTATGTTGTTTTTAATGAAGAGATGTCTATAAATATAAACAAATTTTGACATGGTTCGTATAGTTGATGATTTTCTTAGTTCACTAATTTTCTTTTAACGAATTTTGAGTCACTTGTATCAAAGAGTAGAAAGAGGTATTTTTATAAACCCTGACGTGAGTAATTTGCCGAACCTATGTATTCATTTTTAACGGTCAATGTAGCTTGCATAGATTTTAGTTTCTCTAAAGAACACTGATTTCGCAAGCGATGCTGACTGAAAAAGTTAACATGTCACCTGGCGGTTGATTTGAGAATTTTCATCATCTCGAAAATTGCCAAACAAGCAATATTATAATGAGGAATCATGATTGTGATGAGACTACATAAATTCATTCTGTGACTAAATTTGGTTTGTTCTAGTTTTCTGCTAAGTGTCACGTCAATATATCATTTTTGTGATAGACATCATGTTTTTTTGCACAAAACGAAGTCACAATCGCTCTGTAGAAATAAATACTGCTTTACGAGCCGCTGAGTTTCAAACATTTCTTTTGAATCAATTTATAAGAGCTTTTGTCACGCTTAAACCTGCGTGCTTCGAGCATTTTTATTTTAGGTTCAAGGAGGCAATCTCCGGACGGCTTAAAGTTACGTTTTCTTGGGTTAAGTATTTTGTTATGATTTGAGTTAGTAACTAGGGAACTACATAAATTTGGTTAGTCATTAATAGAGTCCCTTTATACCCAGAGTTAAGACAACTCGATTATCAGCTGACTGGCAGCCGGCCTTGGCTGGCCATGGAGGCCGAAACGAGTGCACCCAAACGAACGATATTGAGGGATAAGGATCAGGAATCCTGCGATGTCTGTCACACAAAAACAACAACGTCAACAAATTGATCAATTAAAAAGAAAATGAGATTGGTTTGTGAATAATTTCTTATTCTATTTTCATTTCGGACCGATGGAAATAACAATTTACTCTTGATAAACCACAATTAGGTAAGATTTTCATTATTCTTGTTCACATTCGAGGTACCGCCATATTGGTGCACTCGCTTCGGCCTCCGTGAACGAGAACCAATCAGATTTGGATTTTTTTTAGGCCACTTTCAGCCCAACCCTGGCCCAACCAAAAGTGAGTTGTCTTAACTCTGGGTATAAAGGGACTCTAAGTCATTAACAGATGTGGCGAATGCATAGGATGGCTGCGTCACGTCACTAACCAGTCAAATCAGCCTTCGTCTTTCAGTCTTGTCAAAAAGTCATCTCGTAGACTTGGTCGAAATCTCTGTAAGGTCGATGTCGGTGTCGGTAGCCTAACCGATGGAGCTTCTTTCTCAGGCGTCGTTTTTTCTTCTGTCGACGTACAAAGTCCACGTGCTCATGCCGGTAAAACTTTACCGGTTGATGAATGAAGATGACTTTGGTTCGTGGCCGCGCTTTCCAAACGCTCGAAGACGACCTGAAAATGGATTTTTGAGTGAGTCGCAAAGCTTGCTTACTGGGCCGTAACTCACAAGTGCCGCGATGGGGAGAAACGTCGTAAGTGCTTTCGGACATCGCCAAATTCCGTCTGATAAATCACGAATTTTGCCTGAAAATGTTGGATATCTTTCCTCTAAATATTCAGAGAATTTTAATCGTGACTCAATCTAAAGTTTCCTAGAATTTCAAGGAACGTTAGGCATAACTTTCCTCGAAAATTGACTTTTAATTGGGGAAAATTCGGCGATGTCTGAAAACTCATACGGAATTCTTCCTTTCAGAGTAGAAAAGTAATGCTTTAAAAGACACTGTCTCAATGAAATTATTAAGATGATCAGGTTTTTGACTACTGAAAGGTGGCAAGGATCTAGTATTTATGCAGCGTTTCGCAACAACGCGGCATTGCATGTGAAAGTTCATGAAAGCTAAATGATGGCATAAATACAGGATTTAGTTCTTCAGCTCGAAATCTCCCTTCGAAAGCATGAGGTGTTCCGAAATTTCTCTCAATCCGTAAACATGCTAACCTTTTGACCCCGGACAGGTTTTAAAGATTGTAATGAAAATCAGTATAATACTCACCACTTATGCCATTTGGGCTCATGGTAGATATGTTTGATCTTGTAAACGGGGACATGAACCGGATATGGTTTGTACACCGTTACGGGCACCTTCTTCTCAACGGTGACAGGGTAGGGTTTTGGGACGGCGTAGGGCACCGGTTTCTCTACAGGGTAGGCCACCTGAAATCAATCGAGAATCAAACACGTTTAAAGATTGTGTAGCGTAAAAACGTCGAATTTACTCAAACATTATGAAGGACTTGATTCTCAACCTCACGAGAATGAACAAACAATAAGTAAAAATATTTATCTTGATTTTCTTAGTTTTTTAATTGTTTTAATATTAAACAGAGGTAATTTTGCTTATATGTATGTATGTTCATATGCGTTTCCTCAGGGCATAATTTGCCTCAAACTGGATAATCAAATTGCGTTCGAAGAAAATAGTTCCTTACAATGGCAACAGTCCCGCAAAACCTTCTCCTTTTCTTTTCTGGTAACATATCTTAAACCCCGCGGACCTTATGAACAGCAGTTTTATCGAATTTTCAATTTTCTCTCCCAAAATTTTAATTAATGATAGAGATTAAAGTTGTGGAATTTTCTTTGTTTAGTTTTGACAATATTTCTGCTGATTTCAACCCTGATCGGGTTGACAAGACTCACATGTTTGACGACTGGTACTTCAACGGGAACATGAACTGGAACCGGTTGGGGAACGTGGACGGCAACGGGGTGAGGAACATGAACAGGAACCGGATGAGGCACATGGACGGGGACCGGTTGGGGAACCGGAACGGCCACCGTCTTGTAGACGGGCACTGGGACCGGTTTCGAGACTTCAACTGTGTGCTGTACGCCGACTACGTTGGCAACTGGGTAGGTGGCTGCCGCGTATCTGCAAGAAAAAACATATGTCTCGGTCAGATTCCAGCCCTAATTGAACCCTTTTCAGGACGCTGATATATCTAAGAAGATAATTAAAAAAACAAAAAAAAACTATAGTCCATTTCACGTTTCCTTGCGTGAATGTCGTGGGCAATTGGCAATTTGAGTGGCTTGAGTGTTGCCTATCTAAAAAAAAAAACGCATCCGAAGTGGAAAGGTTTCATCAATAAAAATTTTCATAAGCACGAGCTCGGCTCGGAGCGCCTTCATGTCTTCTCGATACTTGACGCATTACAACAAAGTTGGTGTAATTGCCTACACAACCTCAACTCAACTGAAAACGCTGAAGTCATAACGCACACATGCAAATGCATTGCTAAGGACAATCACGGTGCAAAAAAAGCATAGGCTTTTAGAGAACATCAACTGAAGCTTGGCTCGATGACGAGGCATTTATGGACCGAGCTGGTCCCTCTTTGTTCACAAGTTAACATTCGCCGCAAAATATTCTTCTTTGAAATACAGAGAGAAAGAGAGCATCACAATTGAATGACGCATACGGTAAAATTCGACGAGCCTCGTAAATACTGTGCTCTCTCTCTCGGTAGAGCCCCACACAGCTTCTGCTATTCATTCGAGAAGAGAAAAGCCTCTAATGACATGTGAGGCAAAACCATTGATACTCTCTTCTTGAGTCTTTATTTCCCACTTTTATCTTCTTCTAGTCGTAACAGGTGGTTATGCACTCGATCCTTACCTCCTTATGAGGTACTTAAATACCAAGTTTTTCAAAATATTCGTCAGAATTGCCCTTCTGCCTCTAGTCTATGACGTGTGATTTACAGAATTTAGAGATATTTTCCCGCTAACGTATACATGGAACAGTTCCAGGAAATGATTAAGAGATCATTCCGATTTCACTATCCCCTGTAAAATATCCGAAGAAGCTCCGTAATACCATACAACTCGTCTAAAATCAACTCCCAGGTTCAAAAAGGCTCTCAAATTTGAAACAATGATGGATAAATACCCGTAAATACGGAAGAGAGTCAATTTCCATTTTCGGTCAAACTCTTTGTGCAGTGAAAAAGCTGAATATATTAGCAAGATTCTCACTCTAAGGACCCTTGGCGTCAAGAGGGTATAGCCACACTGCGAGAATTGAAAATCATTAGCTTGAAATTGCGGCGGAATCACTTGGAGTAGTTGTCATGTAGGTACCTTGTCGCAACATCTCTTCTGGAGCTCTTACGCTGCGGCTATGTATAAGCATAAGATTTCAGGTTTAAAAGAACGTAGTATCGCGTCGATACTGTCAGCGGCCTGCGCATAGAAGAGGTAGAGTTCCTGAGTTTTGCTTGGTTAATGTTAATCCATGGTTGTCTAAATGTCTATCAGTTTCGGCGGCCATTAACTACCAAGAGTCTGGAGATAGGTTGGAGGAGTGATAGATAAATCGAGTTTTGCAAGAGACTTCCCAGATAAATGAAAATTCATTTATTTTGCTTCATCTTAAAATTTAAATACATATGAAATATTAACCGATAGATTCTAAACATTGTAAATCGACATTTACTTGAATCGATAATAGGCCAGTCTCTATATAATTTAAAGCAATTCCGAAACAATTATTTTTTCAAAGAAAAGCTTTTGTAAACAAAATAAACTGCCAAAAGGATGGGTAAAATTATAACTTCAATGGAAATTTAAAATTGAAAAGTCAAAAATAAGTAATTTTAACTATTTCGATCGATCGCGTTTTTCTATACATACGTGGAGTAAGTACAGCGGCATGCATAAGTTGAATTTAAAAAAATTGCCTCAAATTCTGAGATTGTGAATAGGTCGATCGATGTTTTTGAGCTAATAATTTTTTCTTCAAAAATATCGACAAATAAACGTTGTTTCATCAGAGCAAATAGGAAAACGTGTGCGTCAACGATAAGAAAAAAAAATAGTAATTACGATACGTTCGTACAAAGTGAGATCGACGAAGATAGTTTTTTAGGAGAAAAAAGTTAGCGCGATTTTTGAGCCAGTGTAGGTTTTTTTAGTTCTAAAAAGCAGATGTTTTTCTCCATTAACTTTTTATTGATAATTTTGCCTGAATTCAAAATAATATTTTTTTAATGGATGCTTTCGATACTTCTCGTTTTTAGCCGAAAAACTTGAGTTTTACAAAAAGCTGAATTGAAACGCTCAACGAGTATCTCTGCAATAGTGGATAATTTGAGAGATTCAACATTTTACATTGAGATAGGATTGCCAGACCATATTGTTCATCAATCATCATTGGGCAAATCTAAGAGTTGACTTTCAAGAGTAACTTTTACATTTCAGGAATGACACCAAGGATCATATTAATAATCATTCTTGAAAGATCTCCCATTTTCAGGAGACCCTATGCGGTTTCCATTGTGATTGAGGGAGCTTCGAAGAAACTCTTAACATAACATCATGAAGAAGATCAGTTTTTGCGAACCTCGAATCAAATTCACCAGTTCATACATAAAGTCGCTTTTATAGCGCCGCCTCGCGCTTTGCGACGCCCAATCGCCATTGCCCCCTATCCTCCCAGAGATCATCAGGCAATTGGCACCTTCTGATCTCCTCCTACACCCCTTGTCGGCAACCTTTCACAGGACGTCCAGACTCTTTCATTCGTCCAGACATTTTCGGACTCTCTTAGCGGAATATCTTGTATACATTTGAAGCTATAAACCAAGTTTATTTTCCTTCGAAAAAATAAGAAAGGAGCGGGTTTTTGAAACGCCGCAATGTAAATACGTGGTTCCTCATTTTGACCATTGCCACGAGGCTTCCGAAGGAAAGGAGCTGTGTAATAAGGAACGCGTATGTATACGACCCTCAGTTTTGGATCTATGACGTTGTCCAGGTGTTCTTCGGGTTGAATTTTTCGCACGATTCGACAACGGGGCAGCGCGTCACGATACGTCTGAATAGCTCGGTGGCGATTCTTCATTAGCCTAATTAATCGATTCGTTCCCTCAGTTTTCCAAGCGTTTGATCCAGAATCGCGCATTTCATTTCACAATTGGACGTGTTTCTGCCAAACGGAACTATGTGTATTAAGACATGATCCCTGAGACCCATAAGAATACATGCATATCAGGGCTCACGTCGTAATGCACATAGTTCCGTTTGACAGAAATGCGTCCAATTGAAACGGTGAACGCGGGCAGACAACACGTCTCCGCAACTTCGCGGCTGCTGTGGCCGGCGCGCTCTGAGGCCACCATGTTGTCAATTCTATCGAATACACCAGGTACCATCCTACCATCGGCTGCATTCCAGAAGCGAATCTTGCAAATTGGCAACAATCCATGAATCCACAATCGATATCAGGTGAGACAGGTCGATATTTTAAATTGATTTAAAGCATGGATTCATGTAGTTTATGAGTTACTTACGAGAAGGAGAGGGTGTCCAGCCGTGCCTTATTGGGTCTTACAAGCGGTGAGGGGAGCCTAGTCTATAATATTACCCAAGCCTCATTCTTTTTTCTTCTTTTCTTAAAGGGAATATTTTCCCATGAGAAAAAAATGCTAGTTACTTTTCAAGATTTCCCCGCTATTCGCTGAAAACTTGGGAAAAGAGGTTAAGCCAGCTATAAGCAATTCGAAAAGGAGGTCAATAGGTTGTCGAGTGTCTTACAAGGGAGGGGGAGGTGGTAAAAAGTTGATCAAAGTCCCATACGTAATATTTGAACCGCTCTTGATTGGAGGAAAATCAGTGTTGCCGGTTGGCTGGAATGCAGCTGCAATTTCACTTTCCTCCGATAGACTCCCTCAAATAGTTGCCCCTTTTTTCCGGTAGCCAGAGAATCCATTAAAATGCGTTTAGTAAGCGATTTGATCTATCATAATTTTTAGAGATTGTTCAAAGGTGGATTGGGAGTAGAGCAACACAAAGCTTATATTTTCAACAGACACACATGCATAGATGCATGCATAAGGGAATGCTAAGAATGTAGAATTTCCAATGCTGTATGAATACAAGCATCTACGAAATTATTCTAAAACCGTCAACGGAAGCTTGTATCATCTTGAGCTTTGATTTTAGCCACGTGTCGATGAAATCCTCAGTTTCCTCGAAAAGATGCAAGAAAGCCCTTCCTGGGAGTCTCCTTGAAAATTAAGGTTTTGTCAACCCGAGCTTGTCAGTTGTCTAACCAGAGAGAGTAGTATTACTACCAACAACTCATTCAAAATGGAGTTTTCCTCTGAATTAGACTAATCTTATTGTAATTTTAGAATAATATTGATCTCGTTTAGGAAAAAATCCTCGAACTACCTCATTGTAGGAAAAAATGGAGAAATATAAGAGGCACTAAAAAATTGCGATTATTTCCGACAAGATAGGAGCATGTGCATTGGTAGTGTGGTAGCCGTGAAGAAATCGTATCAATCAATATGCAATCCGCCTAATTATTAGGAGCTCGTCTCTGACAGGTAAACCATGCGGAAACCTGGCCAAAACGAAACGACAGGCGACGAACGGTTGGTGTCATTCTACTCAATTTCGAAGGCATTGCCGTCAGCATAGTTCAGGTTCTAAGGTAGAATGGGCAGAATGGGCACATATCTTTCCGTTTGACCTGAATTTGGAGAATATCCAAGCACCATTCATCGATCCGAATCAATCAATTTTGACAATCTGCTCTTACATATCTCGTCAAAATCTCCATATTAGCGTTACCAGGATGTGATATCATTTGTAGATTGATGATTCGATGATGAGCCCATTGTTGCATAATACGTGCGTACCCCAAGTTGCAAAACTGCTCATAAAATTAGAAATTTTCTTCGATATGCGGAAGCTTTTAGGTAACTTTGTCTATTTTATCGACTTCCTCGTCCTATCTGCCACATCTCGCCTTCAATTTTGGTGGCAGGCTACTAAACACCCTTCGAGCAGAAATACACATATATTCGAGGATGAGTGTCTTGTACAGTCCATACAATTTGCCTCGCAGAAATCTTCGTCAAACGCTTTCCTGCTTGCAGACTGTTTAATGCAATTGTTAGAGAAAGCTATGTATAAAGAAGACCAAGGAACAATGGATCTTATTGGTTGAAAAGGGTGGTTCCTATAACTAAGGGGTAAAATGATAGACTAACAATAGGGTCTCTCGTTGGTTGCCGCTTGTTAGTCTATTACTTATACTTCCTCCGTCCATTACAACCACCCGCTTCCACCAATAGGATCGGTCCATTTTTTCTGAGTCTTCTCCGTATTTTAATTATCAGTCTTCAAAGTAGGACATAAATATTTGCATTTGAGGTTTTTCCGTCGACGCAGTACACGTAGCGAGGAGAAAAAACAGTTCACCTCCAGTTTTTTGGGTACCTATGCAACACGGCCATCCACAGAACAGTAGTAGTTGCATTCAGGCGTTGCTGCCATCAGCGTAAGGTCGCGTCTTGTATTAGTTGAAGGCAATAATAATACTGACACGGAGAGTATGGATTCGATCGACATGAAATGATCGAAAAATTATAAAAAAAAAAACCCGCCGTCGATTCACATAAAACGATCGAAAAATAATGACGTGAATTAATCGACGCGATTCGTTCGACAATGATTCGATCGATTCATCAATTTTTCGATTGATTCACGGCTGTCGATGGAATCGCGTTGATTGGTTCAAATTTTAGTTTATCGATGGACACTGGGTTTTTATCTCATTAACTGTTGGTGGAATTGGTTTCAATGGAATAGAGAATTTGCAGGTGTCTGAAATTTGATGAATTTCGTTTTTAAGCAGAAACTATTAAGTGAACTGAACACGAGGATACCCTTGGTTCATGCATTGAACAATTATTGGAGAAGATATGACAAAATGATCTAATCTGCTAAAATACGTGTGTTTAAATGGGAAATTCCGCCAGATGACGTCACAAGGCTGTGCATTTTTTCACTTTTAAATCTATTTTTATACTATTTCCTATATGAGAAAAAAAATATAAAAAATACTGTGCGAGATGAGCTCTTTAAGCACTTTCAGACGAGGCAATAAAAAATGTGCATGGAAATTATCCATTACACCAATCGGTCGACGATTTCGTTCCTCGATAGATTCATGGCGATGAAATCCGCACTGGTTTTTGAATAACTTGTCGACCGAATTGATATTGATCGGTTGGCATGGATGGATTCGGCAATTTTATGTATGGATAGATTCATGTGGATGGAATCTATGGCCTCCCTGTGACTCTACTTATGATAGTTGTATGATAGTTCTTACGGTGCGTAAGCAGCATCTGCATGGTAGGCGGGGGCCGGAGCAGGCTCAACACTTCTTTTAGCCGACTGGGACTCTCTGGCGTCATAGTCCTGGTAGCCTTGGCTCTGGTCCTGGTAAGCTTGGTAGTACGGCTGGTACGCCTCGTAGTCCTGAGACTGCACTCCCTCAGAGCCCCAACACGTCGCCACCAGTGTTGTGATGGCAACCTGTCAACAGAACCAATCATCCGTCACTAACATGACACAGCCTAGACAGTCAGAAAAACTAACCAGAATTTTGTAAAAAGGTGAATCTCCAACGGTGCGCAGTAAGAAATTTTTCCGTGCAGGGATCCCGATTCGCCCCAGTCATAAAAATATAAATGAAAAATTATTTGCCATTTTCATTTCCCATCCCTCGAAAAATGGTCTCTGACAATTTAATTTTTGAAACATATGAATACGCAGTTTCTGCTCAAAATGTTGCCGGTTTTTGCTTGTAATCGGGAGAAAAATCGGTGAAATATTCAGTTAAAAACGCTAAAATTAAAACGTCCTTTTAAAAATTCAATTCATGAGTTGAAATTTAGATACATTCGTTTGGGTAGAAAATGACATTAAGTCCTTTGGGTTTATGTTGAAATTTTGGAGCATACCTTGAACTTTTTTTATGAGTCCCCTATAGGCCACGATAACTTTCTTTTTTATTGAGTTTGAGAGTTAGAAAGATCTGCGGCGCGTTTAAAGTGCTAGCGGCAATTAGTTTATGACTGGATTCGCAGGTGTTTTAACCTAACTCGCGATTTTCAGTGCGAATCCGCGAGTAAAAATCGAAGTTAACACTATACTTGAATGATCGATTATCGATACCTTCCTATTTGAGGATATGGTAAAAAATCGATTATGAAGGCTTTGGTTGCGAACACATGATTACCGATCCTTTTCCATTGGTTTAAACGTCAGATGAATGGATACATCGCAAAGCATGCCACGCCACTGAGTCAAACTGGTTTCCGCTCCAGTTTTGATTTGCATGAGAACTCGAAAGGCGGAATCGCAGATGAAACAATGGCCGATGCGTGGTCATAAAACGCGCCTGTATTAAAATTCATGCCATTCAGAAAGAACGATCCTCGCTTCATGCTCCGATTGCTCGAGATACAAATTCGAAGTTTTTGCGGCTTTTTTCGTGGCGCAAGCTCCATCAACGCTGTCTCGGACTTTTACTTTCGATCTCGAATTCTGAAATCGGCGGTCTCAGGCAAATGTCCGTGCTTCCACAATTTCAGTTAGCTCGATGAAATTTTGGTAAGATAATTCAGAGTTAATGCAGCGAAAGTTCTTTATTCTTGACATCCAGATGCGGTTTAATGACGGTTCGAAATTCACAAATGCGTAGCTCTGGTTGCGAAGTCATCAATTTCTTCTGACTTTTTACTTTTCTTCTTAAATCGAAACTCTACTCTAGGTATGTCCTGTGTGCCGGATTTTTTTTTTTCATCTTCATTTTAGCACGCTTAAATCTATAAAGGATTAAGTAGATGAATGCAAGTCATAATAATGGCCGTAATTTTATAGATTTTTAGAAAGAATAATTTAAAAGGAAACTTACCAAGTGTTTTTATTATTTTCTTCTGTGACTTTTATTGCCCCATTTAAAAATATTGATCAAATATTTCAACGTGAGATTTTGATTAGTCCGCGTTTTAAAAAAAATGAAAGCTAATCGGATATATTGGTTTAAAGATCATGTTCACGTAATGGAGAGCATCATGCTGTGCATAAAATGTAAAAAACTCTGGCAAAAAACTATCACAAAAATGTCCAATTTGATAGAATAGCAGTCGAGTCAAAATGTTTATCCTGTCGTAACCCGGAATTGAAATCGGTCCGAATCAAATTTTGGGAATTGGTATGGGCGGATTTATTTTGGTGCTGCATTCTTGGTACCCCGCGGAATATTCTGATGGTCAATTGAGATAATGCTCAAAGATTGACTGTGATTTTGCGAGAAACTATAAGGCATAAGATGACTGCACTCCATTGACAAACTCATACTCGGCGGTTTTAAGGGGGATCCATGTCCTAAAACTTTGAAAATATTCAAGTAATAGACTAAAATTGAGAAAAATTGATGTGATGAAAGGTATCAATCGAGAATTATTCCTTCCATATTTACTGTGTTCTTCAAAAAATGCCCCCAGTTAGACCATGAACATGCTGGGATGAAAAAAGCATAAATCCATTTAAAAATGAAGTTAGGAATGTAAAGGCACAAACCCTGCGAAACTACGTAACTCGAACTACGAAACTCACATGGGACACCAGGACAATGTAGACTCGAACGCTTTTGCGATTTTCAGGTTTAACCGCAACGGTCCTGAGCTGTAATATAAGGTTTAGCGGAGAAAATCAATCTGGCCAAAAACCAGTTGGAGTTTTTTGCGGTCCTCTGAAAGTCAGAAAGAGCGACTTGGTGCATTTTTGATCGTGCGTGCTTCATTCTTGGGGTTAAAGAGGAGGGAGGAAGAGGGGAAACGACATCTTCTCCAATGGATGTGCACAGATGAAGAGGCTCTTTTCAAAAGAGAACAAGTCCATATTTAGATGAGCTCCAGTTAGCTCGGATTTGAGCGCACATGAGGGCTCATATGAAAGTGAAGTTGTTGGCATTTGAAATGCACAGGATCGACAGCGCGATGATTGCTCCACTTGCCGGGAGAAAGATGCGTCCCAGTCAGGGGGCGTTCGTTACTCATGACATCGCACAGTGGAGACGGAGAGGGCCGAGTGTGTCGCAAAAAACCGGGTTTTTGCTCGCTTTCATTCTTTCCTTCTTTTATGTAACGCGCCCGTGCTCACAATTCCGCCGATAACTTGGTTCCTTGCCGGGCTGCCGTCTCGTTCAGACAGTCCTACTACAGGAAACTGCCGTGCTAAGAAAAAACGCCGCATGAACATTCAGGCCTTGCTGTATCTCCTTCAATAAAGAACAAATTTACTGGGGAAATTCTGAATATTTTTCTTACAATTTTCAGAGAATTTTCCTCACAATTGAATCTAAAATATCTGAAAATTTCGAGGAAAAATATGCAAACCCCTCTTCAAAATTACATGATTTATTTGGGAAAATTTGGCACTCTCGAATGTTCGTACGGCGTTCTTCTTTAGCACGGCAGAACAAATCCATGGCCACAGTGCCAAACCACGTAACTCCGTTTGCGACGTTGCAGACTTCATGCCCTACTCTATTTTTTCCCAGGAAAACTAGTCCACGTAATTCCTCGAAAACTTCCATGATTTTCCATCTCTCTGAGTAGAATATTCTGTATTAATTTCAAGCTAACTGCTTTTTTCCCCTTGGAAAAAATAAACTAGGAGCGGAGATTTTGAAACACCGCAATGGAAATACTAATATTGCACTTTGGTTATCCTCGTGGTATTTCTCTGTGCTGCTCCAGAGTGCCGATAGGCTGATATGGGGCTAAGTCATTCTTACAATATTCCACGTATCAATGTCAGATAAAAGCGCCAATCGACGTAGTGGATTAGTTGTTCTTTGACACAGACTCGTTTGATCTAAACTTCTACTATTACGAGGGTTGGGACCTAGTGCAACAGGTGAAAATTATCAAAGCCTGGCAACACCATTTTCCCATCCAGAGTATTGAAATGGATGGACAAAGCTATAGAAAAAGAAGACATAGGAGGTATAGAGCGATCCTATTGGTTGAAATGTGTGGTTCTTATAGACTTAGGGAGAAAATGATGGACTAACTAAAGGGTTTCTCGTGGGTGCCGTTAGTTAGTCCATTACCCACCGCCTTTGTCCATTGCAACTACCAGCTTCCACCAATAGGCTCCCTCCATATTCCTTTTGTCATCTTTGTCTATACCTTTGTCTATCAATTTGAATAATCGGCCCGCAGCGGGCTGATTTTTGAAATTGATAGACAAAGCAATAGACAAGGACAAAGGAGACAACGGAAAAATAGAGCGATCCCATCGGTGGAGATGGGTGATTGTAATGTACAAAAAAGATATGAGTAATAGATTGACTGACGGCTCGATGGACTTAATAGTTAGTCAATCATCAGAACCACCCTTTTCAATCAAAAGTCTCGCTCAAGTTTTCCGTTGTCTTCCTCATCAATCGCTGCTCCTGTATCAGTATCAATAATCAGCTCGTAGAGTTAACGTCGGTTTTTATCTTAATGGAATTCCAAATCGGTGTCTTATTTCCTCCTTATAGAAGTACAGTATGCTGCCCTGCTGAGGAAGAGTACAGTGAAAATGAAGAAAAGGCTTTCAGAGAAAACTGACTTGAGCCTGATCCTGATTAAATGGCGTTATAAGAGCCGGTCTATGTTTATTCCCATTTTTGACGCATTTATATTTTGATGTTTGGTTTTCTAATTTTAGTGTGATGTCCTAACACGCGTGTAGAGTTAGGCTTAAAACACAAGGACCTATGATAAGACTATTTCCCCGGACATTGTCAGCGTTGAAGCAAATCTTGATACGCGTTGAGCAAAGCTCACTGTGAAATTCGCTTACTGCCGTTTTTTTGTAAGACGGTATGCAAGTCCGTTTCGATTTGAGCCTTCCACTAACTGTGGCGTTTGGTAAAATTCTAGCACGACAGTAAGTTCGTTTCGATTTGAGCCGTGAAGCGCATGAGGGTATACGCTGACCGTAGTTCATGGTGGAATTCGCTTACTCCTGTCTTTCGTGGCCCGGCAGTTGTAGAAATCGATTTTTCCTGCTCTGTCGAAGGAGCTCCCTTTTAAATTAAATTTGATCGCAAGGCCTCTTGTGGATCGCTTCTATGTTCACTCTCATGTTTCAAACTTCAATAATTCAATTATTTTTATTTAATTTTAAACGCATAGAATACAATTTTAAAGTAGAGCGATGCAGGTAAACACCAAGCATACGTTTTTCCGCGCTGCTCAGTGCAGTTCGTTGCTTCCCGCACAAAGAAATGTAACCCCCTTTCTAGGTTGCAAAACCGGCTCAAGTAATAAAATTTTTGACAAAGACACCCTTATGCAATTTTTTCTCAAAGTTGTTTTGATTTTTGGACGAGACCAGAGGAAAAATCAGGGAGATCTCAGCTAGGAATGCCTAAGATTCTCCCGGGAAAAATGCAATTTACAAGGGAAAATTTTGCAACATGGAAATGTAATTACGTTATTTCGTACAGGAAATGACGAATTCTACCGTGCCAAGGAAGAAAATTGTATGATGAAAATTCAAATGTTGCCTGGCAAACTTTAATTGTATTCTATTTTATCTTTCACAAAAGTTATGCATATATTTCCTTGTACCAGATCATACATTCTTAATAAAGTTTTTTAAAAAGTTAAAAGTCTTAAAAAAGTTTTCCATGATATCCGTATTTTATCAGAAAGAACTTGACAACGCGCAAATACTCCCACAGCGCTCGCCTTTGAAGCGGCAGAGTTGGCAACGTTTGAATACATTTTTTGCAAGAAACGCAATTTTTTTCACGTCTCATCCTTTTTTGGGTGTTAGGCGGTAAGGTCAGTTTTCGGCCCGGCTCGAATATCTCCCTTTTCTCAAAATGCGCGGAGCAAAAAATGGTCGCAAATGCCAGTTTGGCCCGAAACTGGGGATTTAATTTATTAGCAGTTACTACGAAAGGATTCGGTTCAAAGAGCCGCCATCTGGTAACATCCGGCGAGCCCTCGACCGCCCGAGCTATGTCACCGTGAACTTCTGCGGGCGTGAGCTTTTTTTTTATTGAGTATTTAGCAATTAAACTGAATTCGACGGTTGGTGAGAATCAAATCAGCCGTACTTTCGATCTTTCTCTTGCCCTCTTTCACTCATATTTTATAACTCCTCGTCATAACAATTCACCGAAAAGAAAAGTTTAGTAGTGTGAACCGAATAATGGAAATAAAATATCATCTGAATGTCGCGGTCCGTGAAACTGGCCCTTTCCATTATGCTAATTGTAAGTTTTGTCCAATAAATAGTTCCGTTAAACGAAGAAGGTGGGGAGGACGAATTTGACAGAAATTAATTAGGGTCTTTTTAAAGGTTTGAAAAGCTCTTGAAAAAACCCACGAACCGAAAAAAGTAAAACACAAGTTTTCCTCTGTTTGGAATAACGGGAATTGGGATGAGAATTATTTCCAGGTGTCCTTTGAAATGTAATTTGATCCGTGAAAGATGTGACAATATTGAAAGACCCCTGACACAATATCTAAAAGATGAGAGGGAGCTGTAGGTTTCAGTATAAATTCCGGAAAACCTGATGGTTTACCATCATTTTTACATTTCTTAAAAATAAACAAGTCCAAAAATGCAATTCTCCGAGTTTCGTCTTTTCTTCGCACATCCACCTCCCTTAGCTTGTTCCCATTCTCTCGACTTTTATACGTGTCATTTTGCCATTCAATTTTAAGACTGAAAAGAGATTTTTATAAAATCGTTTTTGCTGACATTTTACATATTATTCATCTTATCCCATGAGATATCACACTGTTTAGAGAGCTTCATTATGACGATGAACATTTAGTCAAATAAACCAATTTAAAATTCCCCCTGTTGTCAAGTAAAGGCCTCTGAAAAGAAATTGAGGGTGATTTAAAAAAAAGAAAAGCCTGTTTAGGGTAATTCCAAACATCTTACTTTGAAAAAAGATATCGAATGCGCCTATAAGACACATAAACGTAAGCTGAGATTAACTGGGGGATTTTCAATATCAGTTTACTACAGCGCTATCTTTGAAGTATTTTCTGCGTAACTATACGCAGGTTTTATTTTACGCACCGTGCTCTTGTACAGGGTAAATTCAAAGTTATAATGTGATAATATAGTGGTATTATTAAGTTCAATCCATCGCCACACTCCGAGGAGAATACCCACGTTCAACTTCTAATAATAAATCAAAATTCACTTTTTTTCACTAAAAATCATGCTAGGATAAAATTGGCCAGCGATTGGCTACACAGTTTATAGAGGACAATGTTTTGCAAGTAATATTGGACTAAACAGTTTTTATTAAATACAAAAACCAAGTAAATAGTCGATGCATTTTTAAAAGGGTCTGTCTAAATGTCCGAATCAGACAATCAACCTTATTTCTAATAGAAAACCAAAAGCAGAGGTTCTATTGCATGGTCATAAAAGAACTAGATCAGTAGAGGGAAATCAACGGCAAATATATTGTTTCTGGAGGAAGTGAAAAAAGAACGAAGTTCACGCATTATGTGCAAAATGGCTTTCTTCAAATGTGAATTCATAGTAGTTATGTCATTTCCGAAATATATCGCAGAAGTTGATCCCTTATCAAACAAATGTTCGCAAAGCCACTTTTGTATCGCTGCGTTTAAGTCTCTCGGCAGACTGCCGCGGTTTGTTTATGCTCGGCAAGAAGCGCGCACTATAATAGTAATGTGATAGTGTAATAATAGTAATAAAAGTAACAGCACTATTAGTAATGTTCCTCTCCTAAGGAAAAACGTCGTTTGAACAATCGAATGTTGCCAAATTTTTCGCGATGAAATTGTTGTTTATGAGAAATGTATGAATATTTTACTTTATCGTCAGGTACGTTAAAATATTTTTGTGGTTTTGGAGTTCCTCTTCTCCAGGTAAATTTCCGTTTGCAAATATACTACTTGCTGCCATCAGCATTTAATGAATTGATGGATACATTTTGAGGTCACATCACAATTTGAAAAAAAAGAAAAAAAGAAGAAAAAAAAAAACACGAATAATTTAAAAAATATTTGCCCTCAGCCAAAATTGCCATTTTTAACTCATAATAGGAAACCAAGATGATGGAACATGAAAAATTCAATGAAATGCATTTGAATGAAAGTGTGAATGACGATTACATTTCTTTTCTGCTCTGATTTCTATTCCTTTTTTTATTTTCCTATATATTTTCTCCCCTGCAAAATATCATGACCGGATAAAATGAACTTAGTAATTGATGCAATTAGCTGTTGATTAAACCCGATGAGTTGAATCAACTATTTTCTTATCAGTAAAGAATTCTAGGACCTACCAGGCATGCCAACTTGAACGCCATCGTAAGTGGAGTAAACCAAAATCACTTGTAACAACACCAATCGAACACGGTTATCAAACTGACCGACTGACGCTTTATACTCGGGTATATCTACACCGGGGCCGACTCCCCCCGGGTACCGCTTTCTCCCGCCACCCAATGGCGGGCCATTGTTTCCTGTCTCACCAAAGACTACAAGCGCTGCATCTATCGCTGCTCAGGCCCCCGCATGTATGGGGTGTGTGTAATCTTTGCCTCGCTAGGACCGTGTAGAGTCAAAATAAGGGGGAGGGGGGCTCAAGTGGCCGAAAACGGAGATTCTTGATACTATCCTCGTCGTTTCCAAACAAATCTGCATCCCTTGAACGACAGTTCAATGAATCTCTAGACAGCAGAGTAAACAATTAAGGACTATGGCATATGTTTACTTATCAAACTTATATGCAGAACATATGATACGTATCTGAAGCCTTCTGACCTAACTAATAAGTGAGATATAAACGTCCGTAGTTTAGATTACGGTAAATTCAAACCACCCGCTCGCGAAAAATGTTGCCATCACCCTCGGTAAAATTCTCTTAAAATTATAAAATAGTAGGCATTACAAAAAAGAAATTAGCCAACAGGATTCAGAACAGTGAATTTGAGAAATGCTGTTAAAAAAATAAAAAAGCTTAAAAGCTTTTAAAAGCTGCTAAGTAAAAAGCAGCAAGTAAAAAATAATTTTAATGCCGGAAAACTGAGAAAGTACGTATTTGTAACACTGCCTATGCGAGGATTTTTTTTTTTTTTAAATATTTTGCAATGCAACCTTCGAATAATGTCTAATCAAGCTGAAGTTATTACTTGCATAATTTTACGGTAAAAAAGTGTGTACCTCCAAAAAACTTAGTCAAATTTTAGCCTGACTTGATGCGTAATCATGTGCGCCTGTTCTGTATTTCCAAAAAACTAATTCTACTTCACTCTCCCAAAATCCACAAAAAATGAGCTATGACGCTTGCAACCATTTCCCTCGGTCAATTATGTTTTTTCCGCCAAAAAATCAAATTCAAATTATTCGTTGCGAACTGAAAAATTTAAAAATTTAAAAAAAAATGATTTTTCAGTATTGAAACTTACACCACACTTCAAGGTGAAACCAACTTCCACATCTTTTAAATAATAGAAATAGTCCAGGTACCTAGTAAGTCTACCTGGGATTTCGGGTACACAGCTACTTTTTTGGCCTATTTTATGTCTTTTAGGTCGCTGAATCCGAATCTGAAGTTTCTTCACACGTGTTTGGTGTGCATCTGCCGCCATTTTGAAAAATGGCCTAAAAAAGGCCTTTTTTGCGGTTTTTTTTTAATATAGCGGCTATGCATGAGAATAAATCCTGGATTTAGCTAATGTTTTGAATAGCTGACGTAATTTAGATGAAAATTGTGCATAAATATGCTAGGTTTACTAAAACATTTAGGAACTTCGGAACTTGGCGGACCGCGTTGACGGGTGCGCCGCGAAAACGTGAGTGAGCGCGATTTTCACGATGATAAATCTTCCTCAATTTTTGAGCAAATTTTTCATATGTATTGACAAGTTTCTTCCAAAATACGTCAGCTATTCAAAACATTAGCTAAATCCAAGCTTAACAACTTGCTTTAACGTATAAGAAAACGTCCAAAGTTGAAAAAAAAGAGAGAGAAAAATTGGATTATTTGGAAGGAAGGTGATTTTTGTCACAGTGATGATCTGAGTTCTATAACTTTATTAAACCTATTTGTTTAATGAAATGTATGTCATAAGCTTGTCAATTTTGTGGCGTCTTGTTTCGACAAGATATGTCTTATTAATACATTTAGTATGGTTTTGGTTCTGCTTCTGAGGCCTACATTAAGGTCCCTCTGTGGACGGTTGCAAGCAAACTTATCCTGTACACGCGCGCAGTCATCAGAGAGTTTATAGGAAACCTTTATTGAGTATCAAGAATGGAGAACAACTTAATCAGCCAAAACACATAATAAAATGACACTTTAATTTGGGAGAAGGCTGCAAAAACAGAGGATAAATCAAGAACCCGGAACTTCGAAAAATTCGAAAAAAGAAAGATAAGTCGTTGATCCGCTGTTATTGCGAGATCGAGTATCCTCTGTTTTTCTACAGCTTTTTTCCAAGTCAAGCTGATATTCTATTTCGTAGCCCTGGTCTATTTAAAGTTTTTCAAAATTTTTCCAAGCGTTTTAAGTGCTTTGAAAATAAGTATAGTATATCTTTAATGTGTCTCTTAATTTTTTTTCCTACTTGAAAAGTTGCAATTCAAAACCTTGTACACATCATCACGTGTTGCTATGATTGTGCAATTTGCTCCTCATCTGTGGGGAATCCAGGGCTCTGAAAATAACACCTTTTTTCATAAAATTAAGATCAAATCCATCGATAGCACCTTTTTTTAGAGGTATGCCAAACAATGTTCAGCCTAGGGCCGTCGAGGCGCCAAAAATCTTAATCCAGCCTTGAAGGTATTTCCTAAGAGATTTTCAACAGTCGTTTGCACCCTGAGACTAAGAGGTTCATTGGTATCTTGGCAATAGTTGATGCTTTTATTTTCGGGACTCCAACATTCAACTTTTGACCTATCTACTAAAGGCGGATATTTACAAACGCGTTGAATATTTGGTTTTGCAAACAAACCAAAGCTTGGTAAACTTGTTTGGCTCATGACTTTATCCGAAGCTCCCTTGTAGGTAGGTCAAGAGCTGAAAAAAAAGGTGATAACTGTTGCTCCCTTATAAGTGTCCATAAGGAAGGGTTGAATTCTCGGAAGTAAAAGTTTCCATCCATCGCCGAGAGGCCAGTCTTCCTTAACCTTTCTGTTTTTATCAGAAATGATTTCATTTTTTCATTGGCTCTGCAGTTCCTTGCGTTACACGAGGATTCCGATTTGGCATATGCCCCGATGAGGAAACATAAAATCGTGGCGTTTGGTTGCGGGACGGGGTGCGACCCGTCTTCACCGAACTCGGATGTGGATGCTCCAGTTGTGGCGCGCGCTCGAGCAGTGTGTCATCGGGCCTGCCGCCGCGGCCGCGCCGGCCGTTAGCGTTCGCTGCCGCTCGCGTAACCGCGCGCACATCCGCGGAAAAGGTCCGCACGCGAAAATGCCGCGACGTGATCGAAAGGGCCCACCGAGGGCCCACGGCCGAGGACCGCCCAGTCTTTATTGGACGCGGGGAGTGACCGGAACTTGCCGAAACACCCCGCGCCACCCCGCGGCGTGACGTCCAGAGAGTATGTGACGTCATATCCGAGGGCCCACGGAAATGGAGCTCCGCCGGGGTTCTATGGCAATCTCCGAGTTAATTAACTTAAAATGGGTCAGTCACACAAGTTGCAGTATTGGATTTTGGTGGATTAAGCTGTTGGATGAGCAAAAAATAATAACATCCGCCTGGACGTCTAGTTTTTTAGACGTGCTATGATAACGGATGCACCAGATGCAGATCCAGCAATTTGGCAACACCGGATTGCCTCCATTTTAGCCTATGTTAAATAATCGATTCTTGTCGGAGCACATTGCCCCTCCAAGAATCGATATATTTCCATAGGTTTACATGGAGTAAAGACAATGTCGCCAATTTGCTGGATCCGCCAACGGGATGCACCGCTTCTTCTGCATCGCTTCTTCACAGCGTAAGACCTCGCCCCTCGGGGGTGTACATACCATGTTTTTTTCTGCCTGCGATTGATCAACTGGACTACATTTTGCAATTTGGAGCTACAATTTCCGTCTTAGTTTAGAAACAACGTATGTACCATACGTTTTTCTACGCACGTAAGTTTTTTGGCAGTTGGGCCAGAAATTGTAGTTTTTAATTGCAATATTCAATTCGTCGTTCTATTCACGAAAAAACGTAACTACATTTCGATGTTGCCAATTTTCCCCTCGTAAATTGAATTTTTTTCAAGAGAATCTTGGGCATTTTTAACTGAAAATTTCACTGATTTTTTTTCTGATCTCATGCAAAATCAGGAAAATTTTGGACAACAATTGCACAGGTACTTTGAGTTGTTTGAGTCAATTCAGGAAATTTGGAATAAAGTTACGTTCCCACGTGCGGGAAACGTCGAATTAAGCCTGTGTCACACTATCAAAATACTCCATCAAAATATCAAGGTCAAGTGCTTTGATTGGTCCAAGTCATCGAATAAGGCAATCTCAATACCTGACCTTGATCTTTTGATGGCTAGCTTTGATAGTGTGACACAGGCTTATTTGATGCACATATTTTGCACTGGTCGCTCAACTCAAATGGCGGATAACACCAATGTGAAAGAAACCATGATATGCACCATCAAAATGAATGACGTCATACACAGTGTTTTTCAACTGATGATATTTCCGATTATATTCGGCTTATAATTTGACGTTTTGGCGGATCTCATTAATTTGTTATAATCTTTAAGCTTAAACTACATAAAGACGATTTGGTGACTAGCGCAAGTGGCCCTCACAGTTAAAAATTTATCTGGTGGCATAGCCACAAGCCAGATGATATTAAAAAGAATAATTTGCTTTTTGGAATTAATTTAGAGTATTTTATTTCATGTGTATATATTTCACCAGTTTCGGATCTGATGTGCACCGATCCTTTCGCGAGAAACACGCACGTGCCACCGGTGCGGTACGAAATCCACTTCCAAGCCCAAAAAAAACCTTGTAGATTTTAGTCCGTAATGACAGTCGAATATTAAGTGAGTTGGGCGTTCTATATACTTACAAAAAAGTCTTGATGCGGCAAAATTGTGTAGACCTTCAGAAATGGATGAGATCTGCGCTAAAAAGCCGAGTCGACATTGTCGAATATAAATGGGGATAGGACGGGGAAAGGGCTCTTTAAAATAAAATATGAAGAATGATGGTACCTACCTCAGTACAACTTATTTTGGTTTCCTTTCCCTCAGCTTTGATACGCACATATTGACCTGCATACTCCACGGGTATTGTACACGTCTGTGACGAAGTGCGAATCATCGTCCGTCGATGTTCATCCATTTGAACATACAGTAAAGAAACTATTTTTTCGGTTATCAC